ATAAGTAGCTTACAAGGTCCAGTCTGTCCCGGTGCAAGGGCAGAACTGGGGTCTTCAGGTCCGCTGGAACGATCATTTACTATCCTAGTAGACGTATTGTTGTGGGAACGTCCTAACTACATTTGTAGCTAGAGTTCACGTGGGAATTCCAACACCACATCGCACCTCCCTTCCCTTCATACGGCCTAGCCTTCAGCCGTATTGGCTTCGGGTGTGGCGGATTTGCTTCCGCCGCCGGAGCCTGTAGGTTCCCCCGCACATGCGGGATGAGCCCCTGCTCGTAAGCTGCAAACGCATTGACGCGCTCGAGCTGCTCGGCCGGCATTGACACCACCAGGCTCTATGGGGCCTCCATCCCGAAGATGCCTGCCATCTTCCGAACCGACTCGAACTGTGAGTCGTTCATATGGGAGAAGTCGTTCCTATCCATGGCAACGAACTTCGGAGAGGTTCAGGTAGTCTACCCGCGGTGGCGTGGATTGACTACTAGTGCTACCAAGTGTGTCGGGGTCACACAGCACCTTACGCTAGAGGAAGTTGGCTTCCGAGAGTATATAAACTCTCAGTGAACGGCAGATCACAGGTCCTCTTTTACTGAAAGGGAGCGAAGTGACCAATTTAAGGTAGATTGTAAGCTGAGTATATTTATAGGTAGGTTAAACTTGAGTCAAATAAACAAACTAAAAGTCACCTTTAGAAAAGCAATGTAATCAACCAATGGTTGACCTCGGACGACCTTGCTACCTTGTACCAAATATCCTGAAGTATGACGTGTCACACTTCATGTAACTAGGGGTATTCTAAGGGCTACGTACCCCGTTACAGTCGGTGTCGACGATTGCGCCATCGCTGCAAGCGGTATTGAAGGCTAAAATATGTAGCACAAAATACGGTACAGTAAGATGTCGACGAACTGAAGGCGCGTGAGCGAAACCGCAAGTGGTCATTTTCGTAAACGTCTGTTCTTAGAGCATCTCCAGCGGTGGGGGCTATACACGGATTTATCCTAAAAGTAACACGTTTAAAACCTGAATGAGTTTTAACGCGTCCACTCATGGGTCATAAAGCTGGGTTTAACTTCAATCGGCTCTAAAACTTGGCTTTTGGGTCTTAAAATAAAACCTGGGCTTCAATCAGTTCGACTTGATTTTACTATACTGGTTTTGAAGGGAAACCAAAGGAAACTTCATCAACCATGACCCGAATGGAGTGAAGCTGACACCGTTCAGCTCTGCAAGTCCTGGCTGGAGACATCAGGAGATCCTGTCGTCGGTACAGGCCAAAAGAAGACGTCATTCCTTAGTCGACTTTATGAACACTGGTTGGAAAACAAGAGCGATGAACGTAGTGAGGATCGCTCGGCAACTGCAGTCGGAGGGCGCTGGAAAAAAATGCAGCCAGAGGTGACCAAGTTTTGCGGCGTGTATGCCAGGGTGAAGAGTCGGGAGCGTTCTGGTTGGAATGACGAGATATATCTCGATGCTGCACTTAAAATCTACACAGAGAGACACAAACAGCCGTTTGAGTTTCTTACTGCATGGAATGAGCTGAAAGACAAGCCCAAATGGACCTTCAAGATTACAAGTGATAGCAGTGCCAGAGCCAAGCGTAAGGTCGGTAGTGATGGCGATGTAGCCAGACCAGAAGGTCGCAAAGCAGCGAAAGCAGCGCATCAAGAGAACAGGAGCTCAAAAGGCGCAGGAGATGAAGCTCATCTTCGCTTTGCTGCAGCGACTGAGCGAAAGATTGTTGTGATGGAACAACAATTGTACTTGGCCATTTTCAAGCAAAACCCGGAGAGCGACGAGTCAAAAGAGTTCTTCTCCATGCAGCGCAAATCTATTCTCGAGAAGATAAAGAAAACGAATGTAGCAGCGACGCAACAACACCCACATTTGGATCACGGACAACTCGTTTCTGTTGAAGCTACGGCAACGCTAGGTACGGTAGCTACAAATGCTAACAAAGAAAACGACTCCACCACCCGTAACAGCAGCAACAGCGACATTCATAGTGTCACCTCTGCTGAATTGTAGCTCTGCTCGAACGACCAAATCAATTCAGTAGTCAAAAGCTGCCATGCATAACTTACCTAGTTGCGTTCACCAAATTGACGCCATACGTGCTCAATCAAATCATTGTTTAGCTCATAATGAGCTTCTTCGTCTTCAATATGACACAATGCTTGGGCAATGCTTGATACTGGACATTCTTCTGCCGGTGTGCTTTGCACAGGGCTCACCCACTCGTCCTCAAAAAGATACTCGTGGTTGAGATCCTGAAATAGTAGTTCATCTTCGACAATCATGTTATGAAGAATAATACTGGCCAGCATCACATCGTTCATCGCGTCCACTTTCCACAGCTTACACGGCAGCGCTAATATCCGAAAGCGTTGCTGGAGCACACCAAACGTGCGTTCTCTACGTCTTTTCGCACTCCTTCTTGCTCAGCTGCGTACAGTTTCCGTTTGTTGCCTTGAGGTGCACTAATAGTAGACTGAAATATTGCCCAGGGTGGATAAATGCCATCTGTGAGATAGTAAGCTTGGTCGTAAATTGCTCCGTTTACAGTAAATTGAACCTTGGGCGCCACTCCGTTCACCAAGTCATTCAATAGCGGCGACCTCTCCAGCACATTTAGATCATTGTTTGCCCCAGGCACGCCATAAAAAGCGTGCCATATCCACAACGATCGAGATGCGACGGCTTCCAAGATGACGGTCGCTGTCTTCTCTTTCCCTTGAAATGCACCTTGCCACGCGGTTGGACAATTCTTCCATGTCCAGTGCATACAGTCCAGACTGCCAATCATGCCTGGGAAACCACGAGCCGCATTCTCTGCAAGTAGTGTTTCCAGGTCATCGAGTGTAGGTGTACGTAAGTACTCCGGTCCCAGCAAGCGAATGATATTCTCACAGAAATTTTTTAGCGTCTCGAGCACCGTAGACTCTCCCATCCGAATCAACTCGTCCAGCTGATCTGCAGATGAACCATACGCAAGCATGCGCAAGGCGCACGTCACCTTCTGCTCCGGGAGGAAACCCAGACGTCCAGTGGCGTCACGGCACTGAACGAAATAAATTACACTGGTCATCCTCCACAAGGACGCTAACGATAGTTTCAAATAGGCTGCGACGCATGCGAAAGCGTCGGCGAAAGTCCTCTACAAATACAAGTTGAGAGAAGTCGATTAAATATCAATATAATCCAGCTAACGGTGAGGTCAGTGATACGTACGATCGTCGTAGGTTGGATTGTCTCCAAAGTAGTCTTTCATTAAGCGCTCTCCTCCTATCCCGCGGTCGCGCTCCTTATTAGTTCTTCTGTCAGCTCCTGATCCTCCATGCTTGTTTTTCTTTCGTAGGGGCGCATTGATACTATCCGGGGCCATGAATGGTAGATAGTACTCGTCGTCAGAGTCGTCTAAACCTTCCGTCGCATGCGGAAATCTCCACTCCATTTAGTGCTGCAATCTGTTTCGGAATCTGATTGGTCTAGATTTCGTTAATTCCATCTGATAAAACCTTGCGGTGGGATCGTTAAGACCGAGGTATAAGTCCTACCGCTGGAGATGCTCTTACGTTTTATTTAAAACTCAATAAACCAGCTTTAGAAAAAAAGTGGGTGGGTCTATTTTTTACCCACACCACAAAAAAAAGCGCCCTGCTTAATGCTGCATTATTCACTTTAGGCGTCATGTTCGGCTTCAATGTAAATAAGCTGAAGCCCAACCTCAAGATGGCAGTAAATCGCATCGGCATCGTCAAGGACAAGAAGGCCAACGCGGCGCAGGCACAGCGACGGGAGGTTGGACGGCTGCTGGCGGACGGTAAGGAGGAGAAGGCGCGCATCCGGGTGGGTACAGACTGCTGTTGTTGTGCTGTTTAAATGCAAAACTGAACTGTCGTGTAGGTGGAGGGGATTATTCGTGACGACTTCACCATGGAGGGATATGAAATCTTGGAGCTGCTGTGCGAGCTGCTGGCTGAGCGAGCGGTGCGTCTGCGCCCAGTCGTGTGTTCCTGCTGCCTAATTTAAGGTACTGACGTTGTTGCTGCCGCCAGAACCTAATCAAGACGGAGGCAGACTGCCCGTACGACATGCGCGAGGCCGTGTGCACGCTCATATGGGCGGCTAGTCGAACAGAAATTCCAGAGCTTGCGGAAGTTAAAAAGCAGCTAACAAAAAAGTACGGACAGGACTTCGAGGCCGCTGCGATCCGCAACGTCGACGGCTGCGTGAACGAGCGCGTGATCCAGAAGCTCAGTGTGCAGCCACCCAGCGCATTTCTTGTGGTAAACTACATGAAGGAGATCGCCAAGGAGTTCAAGGTGGACTGGGAGCCTGTTGAGACAGAAGTGACGGACCCGCTGGCACCGATCCCAGCACCAACTGGCGCCACGGTCACGAGTGGAGCAGTCTCAGGTCCTGGATTTTCTGCACTCTACCCATCGGTACTGTACGCGACTTGTGGCAAGTTTTGGTATGCCGAATGTTTGAGGCGCTGATAACTGCTATGCAACTTGTGTAGGCTCCCGCACCCGTCAATACGTCTAAGACGGCGTCTTACGTGCCCAATGCTCCCGTAGGCAACTCAAATGAAGAGGCCTCTGCACCGTTACTGACTTCACTGTCGCGGCGAAGTGTAAACGCCTACACTAACCAACCAACGCACTTTTACTCTGATGCTGACACGCAGTCTCAGCCAGTATCCTCGCAGCAGTATGGTGATGCGCCCGCGCAGCCAACACAATCGCTCTCAGCACCCGCGTTGTACACTGAAAATCTCTTTCCTCCAGCTGCTGCTGCACCAGCTCCGACAACGGCCACCGGGGGCATTCCAGATTTTGACGAGCTGACTGCACGCTTTGACAGGCTTCGCAAGCGCCAAGACCGCCACGACCAGGAGAACGCTTCGTTCACGTTCTAGCACACGAAACATGATACTAACACACCAAGGCGCCGTTTCCAGGGGCTAATGGTAACCAAATATCATACTACCTCCGCTCGGAAATAGATAACCATTTTTGTTTTTTGCGCAGCGCTCCGCCTCGTTCATTTGAGCGTTTATTAATTTGTGAGAGGCTGGCTAGCTAGCTTTATGACCGAGAGCTGACAGTGAGATCTAAGCAAGGCACAGGCGTTCATGCTCCGCCGTCCAACTACAGATACAAAAACGGATATAAGACGGCAACTACATCGCCACATTCTGAAGGGGCGCTCAGTGGGGCTTCTGGAACTTCAGCGGTAGGCGGTGGGGGGCTGCTCGCTGCAAGAAGCAGCAGGTACGCGTTAGCATTGGCGAGTGAGATAGCGTCACAAGGCAGTGACGTAGGGAGAGTGCCAGCTCGTTGCTTGTCCTTGTGCCTCCGACACAAGTCCTCCGCGCCAACTTGTGCGTGGGTGTAAATAGTGGACGGGTCTGTCCGAGCGCACGCCGTATGTAGCCTTCCTTGATCAGCTGCTGAACCAGGTAGTAGCTCATGTTGGACGCGCGCTGAAGCAGACGCTGGTTTTCGCGCTCATTGACAGGAACTGCATCGATTCTCTCGCACAGCTCAGCTCGATCCACCTTTTTCCTACCACATGCGCTCTTCCTTGACTTGACCACGGCTGCTACTCGATCTCCCATCGAATTGATTCCACGCCTCCAAATTCGTTCGACAACTTGGCGGCCCACACGGAAGTACGCTGCAACCCGAACGATCTCTCCATGTTTGAGCACTCCTCTCACGCTGCGAAGCAGTAAGGTCTCCCAGACGGCCTGTCTGTAATCTCCCCCAGGTGCCAGATTTCAAAATGAAAGCTGGCTGGTCGGGAAAGCGCGGGAGATTCGAAATCCAAAAAGTGATCGGCATAGAGGGGGTATTTTGTTGGGTAGACTGTAATATAATTTGAATAGGTTATCTTTTTCCGAGCGGAGGTAGTATGATATTTTTGATAGTAATATTACTGTTATCAAAATTTAATATTAATAGTAACTCAATTTTTCAAAAATTAACATAGTATTTTAAAGTTAGCTCGGAGATTTAAAAAATATTAAATACTAGATGTTATTTTATTTTATTTTCTTCATTTAAGTACGTTTCTTGCCCTAACCTCTGTGAACCGAGGGCCAGGGGCTACAGTAATCGCTCTCCATTCCGGTACTGGTATAAAATAATATCCCTAAAATATCGATACAACCGCTTTAAGGAGGGTGTACTGACGGGGATTCTGGCGCGAATCGCTCAGCTCCAACCATTTGAAGAACAACACAGTGATCATAGGCTTCAGATCATAATTCACATTAGTTTATACCCATGGGGAGCTGGATGAAGATACAGCAGAAGCGAGGCCTCATCCAGAAGACAGCAGATTGTCCCGACATGATGCAAGAAGAGCTGGCTGCGTGGGCAAAAGCGACGTACAGGCTGAGGCGAGCGCCTGCTCAAACTACTGTCTCTGACTTAATCTGGATAAGGATATGCGTGCATGTGGGCGCCATATTCTCTTACTACTAGACAACGCTTCTTCTCACAAACTGGGAGATGTCATATGCACCAACGTCCGTGTGGAGTTTCTTCCCCCCAACACTACAGCGTTCCTACAGCCAACGGACGCTGGCGTCATCGCGTCATTCAAAACGGCGTACCGTAAGAAGCAATTGCAATGGGTGTACGACAAGATTAAGGACGGTGTTGAGATTGACAGGAAGGCGTATGAAGTGGACCAGCTGCAGGCAATGCAGTGGAGCAAGGAAATTTGGCAAGCTTTACACGGTAAGCGTACCATTGAGAATTGTTTTCGCCATACGGGTATTCTTTTTAATGCCGCTGATGAAAGAAGTAAAGCGGCCGGTCACACTAGCTACGGACCACGATACCGGAAGTGAGAGCGATTATTGTAATGGTAACCAAATATCATATGATCTTTTTGAAAGTAATAGTACTATTTGCGAATTTAAATATTAATAAAAGCTAATTTTTCCAAAAGGTAGCATAATATTTTAATTTTAACCCGTAGAATTGAAAAATATTAGAAACTACATGATATTTTACAATAGTTTCCTCACTTAAGTACGTTTCTTCCAAAGAACTCTTTCGGTCAGGTTCTAGAACAGCAGTAGGCTTTAAGACTGGTGAGTATTTGCTCCTGTATTTCACTGTGGCACAGACAAAGGCGATCGAGATGGAAAACTGCAAACACTTGCAGCTGTTTCACGTCGATAGAGCGAAATCAAGACATTTGTTCTTGCTCTCTACCGATCTCCTCGTCCATCATGCGTCTAATAAACCTGCTGCCTGTGGCGCTAGATTAATGCGCTCAGCAGTGCCAACACACGACGCCAACCTTGCCGTCACTCTCACAATTGTCCCGGACTCCATCTCCCTTACGGTTGATTAGTAATACTTCAGCTAGTCGAACTTTAACTATTAATACATATGGTTGGTGGATTTAAACAGATTACGCAATCTTTGAAAAATCTAATATCGTACTAACTAATATTAAGTTGATATTTAATAAAATCATTTTGTCTCAGAAGAAAATATTAGGTGATATTTTTATATTAACTCGTCTACAGGTGATATTTTCACAGTATTAACTTCACCGATTTTGGAATACCATAACCGGTACTCTCCGACGGGGAGGGATTCGTGAGACGATTAGGTTGAGCTCGATCTGACGATAATCCAACTGGCTTCTTGCTGGATCTGGCTCGATCCTGGCTGGGTGGTGTCAGATCGCAGGTATGGCGCCCTGGATTCCGAGTCTTCACACTCGAGGGCGCCACCTGTCCCCGGATCCTAGCCCGCGCTTCCAGCATTGACGCCACGTAGGGACCTAAGGTCATGCGTCGCGGCTCCAAAGACGTATCTGACCCATCCTCAGCCGCGGATTCGTAGTTAGAGAATGCAGCTTGGCTGATCCTCGGCGACAACACTGAATCCATGGTCGGCAAATTCTCCCCGGCGATGGACTTGACACTGACAAAAAGGTCCCGCGTCGCCGATACTATAAGATCCAGGTTTAGCTCGAAGATATCCTCTGCGTCGAACACACCAGCTACGATGCCTGACTCAGTAAGCAAACGTAATAGATCCTTAACTGCCACTAATTTGTTCGACGTT